GGAAAAATGCCCAAAAAGTTACCTCGGGCCCACGTCTCGGAATCGGGTAAAATTCACAAAATACAAACACCCATTCACTCACGAGTTTACTCGTACCAAAATTGTTCAAATCCGATACCAAAATCTCGATCAAAATCCCAAATTTTGGCCTAAGAATCTTTCTCAATTTCTCACCCCAAATCCGAAATTAAACGATGAAATCAACCATAGATTAGTGGAATATAACCATAAAGGAGTTAGGAATCATTATCCAAAAACTTCGGCCAAAAATCTCTCCAAATTTCGCCTTCTACCGAGCTCTCAATCAAATTTTTGTGTTATGAACTCAACCCTAATTTTTAAACCTTAAATTCTGCCCAGGTGCGTTCTTCTTCGCGAACGCGACATCACGATCGCGAACGCGATGAACAATCTTCCACTGGCCCAAAATTCCTCCTTCGCGAATGCGAGGGGACTCTCGCAAACGCGTACCTTCCACTGACGGACCCTTCGCGAACGCGCGAACCTCTTCGCGAACGCGTAGGCTTAATGCCCGAAGCTTCCTCTGCCCCGTTCCTCTACGCAAACACGAGGACCATATCGCGAATGCGTAGGCTTAAGGTCCCACACCTTCGCGAACGCGGGAACAACATCGCGAACGCGAAGAACAACTTCGCTGCCTTTTCCAGATGCTCTACGCGATCGCGAGGCACCTCTCGCAAACACGATGAAAGATTTTTCTGCAATAAAATACCAGAAATCTACCACTTCTCTAAGTCCAAAGATGACTCGTTGAGCATCCGAAACACACCCGAGGCTCCCGGGACCTCGACCAACCATACTAACCAATCCTAAAACACCATACGAACTTAGTCAAGTTCTCAAATCACATCAAATAATGCTAAAATCACGAATCACCCTCCAATTCAAACTTAAAGAACTTGAAACTTCAAAATTCTACAACCGATGCCAAAACCTATCAAATCACGTCCGATTGACCTCAAATTTTGCGCACAAGTCATAATCAACATTACAGACCTACTCCAACTTCCAGCCCAAAACTCCAAAAATTTGACTTTCGCCATTTCAAGCCTAAATGAGCTACGAACCTCCAAAACACAATCCGGACACGCTCCTAAACCCAAAATCACCTAACAGAGCTAACTGAACCGATAAAATTCTATTCCGGAGTCGTCTTCACACAGTTCCGACTACGGTCCAAATCCTAAGGCTTAAGCTCTCATTTAGGGATTAGGTGTCCCAAAACACTCCGAAACTCAAAACCAATCATCCCGGCATGTCACAATAGCAGAAAATAGATTTGAAAAAAGCAGTTAATAGGGGTTCGGGGCTCTAACTCTCAAAACGACCGATCGGCTCGTTACAATATCTTACGACTTAATTTTTTTAATTTCTTTTTCACACAAAAATTTATTTGTACCCAACTGGATTTACACCTTCAGGTGTTCGGGTTATAGATCCAAAAACTTTACGTTTTTCAAGTGAAGTCAATTCTTCTTGGATAGCGTCTTTTCATTTTGGCCAATCATTTCTCCGTCTACATTCATCGCCAGATTTCGGTTCAAGATCCTCATCTTATTGCATTATTTCAACAGTAACAAAAGATTATCGACAACTATATCATTTCGATTCCATCTTTTTTCAGTTGAGATATAATTTATCAATATCTCTTCATTTTCAACATTTTTAGGTATTTGAACCTCTCTTGAAATTTTATCAATTGTTATGTCTCGGGGCTCTTCTTGAGTAACTACCTCCATATTATGACCATCTTGATCATTTGTCCCTTTTTTGAGGATTTTTTTAATATTTGAACCGATTGGTCTACTACGTTTTAAGTGCGACTTAGACTCATTTGCTTTAACAGAGTCCTACCGGGTCATCAACTCGAATTGGAGCATTTGCAGTTGAAATATGAGATTTAGTAATCCTTGGTAGATTGGTAAATGCATTGGCACTTGATTTATAATACTTTGCAAATGAATTATCTTTTGAACCTCCGGTTCATATTGATTTATACAAGAATCTAAATAAGACAGTGATAATGCATTCCAATCAATATCTTTTTTCAGCTGCTTATTCTCATCCCCTAATGTTAAAAGTGATTTTCTAATTGTTCTAAGAAATTCACAAATTAATTTCAAAACAGTGATCCATTTGTACTATAACTGATAATCCCATAATAATACCAGTATAAATTTGACCATCATATTCACAACTATTAAGAAATGTTTGGACGTATGCTTAGTGAAGGGAAAGTGGAAACACATGCGGGCCTGCATATAATAGTTATTTATTAAGTATATTAGCCTGGAGGATGTGTCTAGTTACTAATTTATTTTCAACTGATAAATAGTATGACGGTGTCAAGCAAATATTGGTGAAGGGATTATCCAGCCGCAGATGTAACTATTATCATCATTTTACTCTATTATCGTTCATGTAATATAGGTCCGAATTGGATATTCAATTGCTTCAATTTGAATTATTCGGAGAATGCAATACCTGTATTTAATCTATTTCTTATACATATTTATATATATCTACAGAGTTTCAACCAAGGCATCTAAGTGGCTTGGCACTCCGAGCCTTCCACATAAATCCGCCCCTGAATGAACAACGCATGCAGTGAGAAGCAATCTTATGGACAATCAAACCTATTTCTCGATTCAATCAAAGAGGTGAATAGGATTCCAATAGAGATATGTAAAAAGTAGGTCCAATTACGCGTACTCCTAATCCTAATTAAATAGAATGTAACGATATAGGAATCCATGTGTAAATATAGTATCTATCAAGATAGGCCCGAATGCCCCCTTCTCATAATGAGAATGTATATAACCCTATTCAGGTCTAGTCCGGTATGGAATGAACTTATAATTATGGAATCAACTAGATCATCAGATTATAAGTTCATAACCTTAGCCCATTTCTATTTCTGGCGGAACAGATCTACTAATTCTTTGATTCCGGTTAGTAAGAAGGATCTTGAATTAAGAAATAGACCCTACAAGCTAAAAAAGGCTACATGCGTGATGTCGAATTCAAATAGAAGCAGTAACCATTTTGCGGTCCTTCCCGTTATGTTAAGACGTGTTTCTCGAACAAATACTTGTTTTGTAGGTCCATGGAAGCTATTAAACGTATGTATGTGAGATAACAGTAAGCATGGTTACAAAAGCGCAAAGTACACGTCAAGATTCTACATACAAAATATGCATAGCAGTAGCACCAGAATAAGTTTAAAAGAAATATACCCTGTTCTGAGAAAGAGAATAAACAAAACTTAGGGTGTGTTTGGTATAACGAAAAATGTTTTCCAAGAAAATGTTTTATTGAAAAATAAGTAGTAATTTTATTTATTTTTCGGTGTTTGGTACGCGCAAACTTTCAAACACATAAACCTCCGAACTCATAACTTTGGAACTTGTAAAATTTCGAACATGTAAACCGAAAGATGAAAAAACTAAAACAACAGATGAAATTACAAAAAGAAAATATTTTTTTTGGGGGGGAGGGGGTGCAGAAATTTGAAATTACAAAACAAAAAGTTTTTTTGTGCGGGGGTGGGTGGTGCAGAAAAATAAAAAATAAAAATTTGAAATTACAAAAAAAAAAAAAA